AGGTATGAGCTGCTGCGCCTGGCTCATTAAAAACACTCTTATCCTCTAATACCAAACCAGCCATTTGCCACTAAAAAAAAAAAAGTGAAATGGGATATAATATGATTTCATTACTTTGTAGCATTTCATTACTTTGCTTTTACGTGTTTAAAATTTTGCAATTTGGTATTAATCCATCCAATCTTAATGTCATCATTGGCAGACTCAGCTTTTCTAAGAACTGGACATTAAAAGTCAAAATTATGGCCAATCTTTCAGAAAATGTTAAATGAACAGGGAAATAAAGGGAAACCTACAATTACTAAGAATCTCAAAAATAGAGTTATGTCTCTCCATCTTTCATTTTCACTGCAAACCCCTAAGCTCTGATTTTTGTGTTCCTGCTCATAAATCCAGAGGGAAGGCTGTGGGTGGCAGGCTGCATGGGTGTGGGAGGATACACTGCTGTCCAATAGTGGAGTCAGCCCTTTCAGTTGACAAAGACAACATCCCCATCTTTAGATGGTTTATTTGATCTGCGTGAAAGAGTGGCAGTGGTGTTTCTGGCACTTGAATAAGCGGAAACAATATTTTTGGCTAGAGAAACTTCTGAGTTCTCTCAGGGAGCCTTCTAGAAGGCCATCTGGACCAAGCAGTATTTCTTTTGTAAAGCCCTGCATTTGGAAACAGAAACGAAAGGTGTGCGAGCAGCAATCAGACACCTATGAAAATGATTGGCTTTCAATATTTTGGTAGGAGGGATTTATTACTGTTTGTAAAGTTTCCGGATGAAGAGACACACATAAGGAAAAAACCTCTTTCTTTATTAAGAGATACATTTCCAGTTTATATTCCAGTAGAAGATGTGTTTATTAATGTGAACTTATCAACTGGCGCTATTTTTCTCTCGAGTGAAATTAGAATGACTGTTCTGTGTGATATTTACAGTTGTTAGTCAGGTAGTAATCTTATTTTTGACATTTGCAATTGTTCACTGAACCTAGAATTTAAAGATGAACACTTCCCCTTCCTCAGTCTTTCGCCAACTTGTGAAGCTATAATGAATGGGAAAACATTGAAAAAATTAAACGAAATCCTTCCAAAAATCAAACAAAGCACTTACAGCCAGGATGTGAATACAAGAGAATGTTTGGAAAACTGAAAATGAAGCAAAGCCATATTTGTAGCCAGATACTGCAAAATATGAATATTCAAGCAAAGTGTCTTTAACAATTTTACACACATAATCCACTGTACTATTCTTTCATATTTTTCTATTAGAGTCTCCATTTAGAAAGAAATAGTAACCTCCTACATGAAGATTTCCTGTGATTAGTGATTGTTTTAAAAAAGCAACGGGCTGTTTCCTTTAGCTGTCATTTTTGCCTAAGAAGTAACGAATATGGAAAGATAAAAACCTCAGCACTAAGTTCATATTACAGATTTGAGAAAATACGCCTTGGCGTATATACTTGAATGTATATATGTTGTATAAACATGTATGCTATATGTATTTGTTTATGTAAAATTATCACTTCTCTTGATATCAATATTATCTAATTATTTGCTTGAGATGTTTTCAAGTATCCAACTTTTATAGCATATAAAATTCTTTATTGATAAAAAAGAACTATTAAAATCATATTACTTTAATAAACAATACTAAATTCAGTTTTGAATGAATTTTCAAATATTAATGGAATCACCACTATTATTAAAAAAGACATAAAAATGGAATCGACTTTTAAGAAAATCCTTTACAAATTTAAAACAAATCATGTGGAAAGGATTTACCCTGGCTAAAGGCATTTTACCAAATAATTTGAAACTAAAATAATGGCATGCAGGTTGTATCTCAAAATACATTTTTCTGGAAAGATGGAAGAAAAGTCAGTTTGATTAATACTGTGGCTGGAGGCCTTACAGCTGATGTTGGCTAAATTAAAACCATTTTAGTTTATGGGAATTAACATAAGAGCACAGATTATTTGGAATGTTTAAAGTTTTTCCAACAGATTTTAATCAGATAAGATAACCTGGAGTCCCCATTGTCAGTCTCCAGCCCTAACTCTGATTACTGAGGGCTATTGTGCCAGGCAAAATTTTCTAGCCTGAAAACACCTCTCAGTTTCCTGAAACAAAGCAGTCACAAGCATCACTGCCTGCCAAACAGGGACAGATGATATGAGCTGATTGTTACTTGTTTTAACATAAAGTGATTGTCAACCAACATTATACTAAGGACACCACACTTTATTTCCTTAGAACTTTTAATTAAAACACCCCCAAAATTCTGTGATACCAGTCCGAACCTCAATAATTTATCTTCTCTTGGTCTAAGGAGTCCCATGAACTTTGTCACTTGAAAAGGTAGTACTTTTTATTTGTGAATAATCGTAATGATTATTATATAGAAACACATGACCCAGCACCCCCTGTGGAACTTCAGCTCTACCTTTGGTGTTTGGGCCGGATAGAATTTAAGATGCGAGCAGGATGAAGCAGAGAAAAGCAAAGATACATAATTTTTCCTTCTTGGGTCATTTCTACTCAAAAGCATTACTTGAATGAAATTTTCATCAGAGGGAGAAAAAAGGTCTTTTGGAAATTTATGACTGTCACACTAGGACACAAACCATCGGTTTCCTATCTTTGAGAGAGTCATCTGTGCTTCGCACGAAATATCTGAGGGTTCATGTTTTCATCAGTGATTCACATTTGAAATAAAACAGACTAGAGGTTTGTTGGAAGCAACACTTTATACAATTGTGCAACCTATTTATACAAAATCTTTACAAACAGAACCCACATTATTTAAACCCCAAGATCCCCTCAAGATCCAGAGTTACCTACCTGCAGATCCAATTTCTGTGACCAGCCAGTTTATAGGCAAAGTGAAAGAAACATGCTAACTGGATAAAATAACCATATGTCCCTACTGGAAGCCCCATTACTTGAATCATTTCAACCTTGCTGGACAAAACACCAGGAGAATTTGCTGTAGGAAACAAACCTCCACGAATGGGGCAAGGAAGAAATTACCTAATAGTTAGTCTCCCCTCTGCTCTGATTTCTATGGTTCTGTGTTAAGAAAAGCCGTCCTGCCACACTGTGGTGAGAGCTTATGCCTCAACAAGAGGGTATTTCTTATTTAAAAAAAAAAAAAAAAAATTCTAGAATTGAACATTTAAGTTGCCAACATCAAAAGATACGCAACTTTGGGAACATTTTCCCAAGGAATAACGCTTTTCAAGATACAATGGAAAAGGGTCATTTTCTTCATTCAAAAACTTAAATGCTGAGAAAAGCACATGTTTCTGGTTTGACTTCTGTTTTCTGGCTACTGAAATTCAGGGTAACCTCTCCTATACTCCTATCTGCTTACAATGCCAAGTGGCCTCCTTTGATGCTACCCCTTGTGAAACCCAGCTTGGATGGGTCACAGACACATTGCTGGCCTAGACTGGAACTCTGCTCTCTCCTTTCAATAGTCCACATGCTGCCTCAGGTTCTTATTTCACCAGGAAGCGTTTATAAGATGCGTGCCCTCAGCTAGCACAAGGCACGTGCAGAGGTATAGAGCATTCAGTGTGGGTGTGCACGGGCAGGAACATGAGAAGAGGGTGGATGGAGTTATTTGCACATGTGAATGAGAGTCCATGGCTCTTAGTTCTAGGTGAATATCTACATTTATTCATGGGAATCTTGATTTGGGGTTAAGACACAAAAATGGACATTAAATACAAGGTCAACTTAAAATATTGTTTCTATGAAAGGCATTACTTTTCTGATGGCCACTGTTGATGTGAAATGGAAGGAAGAATGCTGTTTATCATGAAATTTGTTTAATGTAACATATTCTGCCTTTGAATATTAAGTGTGAGTTTGTGCAAAAACAAGCCTGCTGGTGTGAGTGTGCCCATGTGTGCATGGGCTGAACGTGGACATCCTTAGGGCATGACCCATTTAATGCTGCTGCCCACTTTGGCAAGTCCTGGGATTTTCAGGTGTCCTTGCCGCCAGTAAAAAGTACAAGGGACATGTCTCACGTGGATGTCACAGGTTCAGGTTCCCACTAAAAAAACAGGATTTTTTTTTTTTTTTTTTTTGGCAGGGGGAAATGCTTAATATAAATTTTCAATATTCTTTCCCCTAAGTAATTTTGCATTGTAGGTATCAAAACTTTACTCCTTCTGGAAGTCACAAGGCTGAGTTTAGAGATTACCTCTAGGATAGATTTATAAATGTAACTTTCCCTCCTATCCTCTTAAAAAGAGGCAAACGGTATTATTGCAAATAACCTTTAAGATAATTAACTGACAATGCTGCAACTAGCATAAAATCTTCCTTCAGGCGACACCTAATTTAAGTGTTACTGGCACAAAGTGGAGACAGATTGTGCATTACCACTGCAATATTTACATAGCAGAAACCCACAGAGCAGGAAACGCGAGGCTCAATGATGCACTAAATTAGGAACAACCGTACTCCAGTGTTAATTTGCTTTCTATTCCATCCAAATCTCAGGTCCAGAAATCGGTACAAACACATATACAACCTCCCACTCTTAAATGACTAAACCGGAGGAGATTTCTGTACTCCCCCCCCAAATTAAAATAACTTGAAATTTATTTCTTTCCTCCACAAGAACCATTTGGTCAAACTGTGTTTATTTCATTACAACTTGTTCTCACTTTGATCTAAAATTATTTTCATATGAATGCTGCATAGAAGTCTGTATAGAAACACTAAACAGATTTCTATTTTCTCTAAGGCTGCCAATATATTTTATGAAAAGAATAAAATGAGAGACTTGAGAGCCAGTTAGTGAAATATTTAGGAACATGGGCAGGGCAAATCTACCTTAAGCAATTTTCTCACTGGTGAATGTTTTTCCCTCCCCTTCCCCTCTCCCCAGATACAATGAGTTTTCTTAAACCGTTCACACAACATATTTGTTTCATTCTTCCCGACAATATTTTAAACACTACTTTCACCCAAGGCATTAACAAAACATTTACCTTTCCTAATTGTTGATGTTCTGTAAAGGCAGCAATCAGTTCTTCAGCCCACTTCATTTTTTCAGGGGAAGGAGAAAACTGCTCCTGGACCACAGCAATTTGGTTAGGGTGAATCACCTGCTTACCTGCAGGAAGATTAACAGCATCAGAACCACGAAACAGCAAACAGATGCTCAAACACGATGCTTCTGTCAGGTGAGGTTCCTGGATGCCTCACAGACTGTATGTTAAATAACTAATTTAAAACTTACAGGGAGAAAACAAAACAAAACAAAATCTTCAATCAGACAGGCTTTTCCAGAATACCACATAAGAACAACTACAACAATGGAAGTAATTGTGTTTTCGATCCTATAGAAATGCCACCTTAGTGCAGATAATCTCTTATTTTTAGTTACAGGTGGGCTGACTAGGCAGCTTGTTGAATAACTACTTTGGCTGGGACTTTAAAGGATAATGTCTGCAAATTAGAGTGATTATTTTGAGTTGAAGTAGAAAATAATTAAATGAGAATTCTCTTAAATTTTCTAAGTTGTCTTTTGCTTTCTTTGTAGGATTATACTTCCATGACTTCTTTTAGAAGTAGTCTGCTGGTTTTCATAAAGCTTACAGATGCAGTCATTACAACTATATTATTATCAAATACAGTCTTACAATAGTATATTTAATTTTTTTTCTTTTGGATGAACATAGTTTATGTGTCATTTCTGACCCCTAACAGAAAATTGGATTTGAATAAAAATATTGTATTCAGTATGGTAAAATAGAAGGCAGATTTGAACACTGCAGCCTCTAGATTACTCCATTTAAAAATTTAAAAACTAGATACTTACAGAAAGTTTCTCTGTCCAAAAATATATCCAGATTTTCCCTTTTGGCTTATAGAATCAAGATTGTGTATTTCTCTCTCTAGAGCACCTTACATACCCCAGAAGAAACCTTATCTCTGTAGAAATGCCTTCCAAAAAGATTTATGATTCTTCTGATAGTCAAAAGATTTTAAATAAAAACATCATACAAAGATAAGAGCCACAGGATTTTGTGAAATAATGCAGTCGTTTAAAAAAACAATTTAACAACCAGGGAAGTGTGGAATCCAATCGGATCACTAATAAAATGCAACATAATTTAATGCTATAATAATGATGAGATTATATTGTTACATGATAAAGTTATGAACATAATTGGCTCTTTAAAAATGATTGTACACTTAATGATCATTTACTCTGCTAAATATACTTGTTGGTTTATCAATTTGCTTTGCTTTTAAAATAGTTATTTTAACACTTAGACAGTACAAATTATATTCTTGATATTTTGTATCCTTGCTGTCAATTCCTATTACTTGTCATTATTCTGTTTGAATGAAAAAAGGAATGATGCTTGTAAAAACAGATTTTTAGTGTTTCACATAAAAGAGTTTAAGTGGATAAATAATATATTTTCTTTCCAATGGCATAACTAAAACATCCTTGCTATTTCATTCTTTTCTGTCAGCATACTCATAAAATGTTAAACACTTATATAAATAAAGATTATTTAAATTACCTGAGGAATAATTTCTGGGAACGAATAACATGAGGGATGACAAATGAGGGCTTTTTCCAGTCATAGGTATTGAGATTATATTTAAGTAATCTAATAGTTGTTAGGATATTATTAATAAAGGATGTCAGTTCTGGGAGTCATTTCCTCCTAATTGTTAGCCCTGAATTTCTTAATTTATGTACATAATTTACACCAATGCGTAAAAGGCCAGATTTCATGGGAACTTCTTGGTACATGCACTATAATTTGAGGAGCAAACATAAACGATTTAAAATACTGTGAAATCACTGCTGGCTCTCCTTTCTCTAGTACGTATATTTTGGCAATGAGGCTAATTTTAAGATACATGTTAGGTTTTAGAAATGTATGAACATTCATATGTAAAGTTCTCTTTGTCATGTTTTATATATTCCAACAACTGTATAGTGGACTTTAATGTATTGTGGGAACCAGGCAAATATTTTATACAGAAGAGTTGTTATTGACAAGTTACTGAGAGGGTGCAAAATTGGAAGACATTAAAATTTATGACCATGAAATCCTTTTTACAGTACCGCTTGATATATCGTGCTTTAAATCAATACCTGTCAAGTCTTTTAGGTAACTGTATGATGGTGTCATTTTTGTCTTCTACAATAGACTGCAAAAAAGAAGAAAACCTATAGTGCTTCATATTTATAATCTGTCTTCTCAGCATGTAGCACTGGAGTAACTGTAATAACTAAGTCAGCTGTTAAGCCTTTATTCCAAGATTTAGTTTTGGTTTCTTTTTTTATTAAAAAATTCCTAGAGTTAATGACCATTTATACAGCCAATGCACTGATTTAAAATCAATCGACATGGATTGTGATTCTGGGAAATGATCGTAGAAAAGAAACTATAGCTAACTTTTAAAAACTACAACTCATTGAAAATCTATATCATTGTTTAAAGTACAGGAAATCCTTGTAGCACAGACTTAGTCTTCCTCACCAGTGTATGGATAATACAATACTTCACTGGATTTTAAACCTTTCAACCACCTGCTTCAGATGAGGCATGTCTTCCTGCCTCCCTCCCTTCCTCCCTCTTCCCCACTTTTCCTTTCCTTTTTTTTCTTTCCTTCTTTTCCTTCTGCTTGTGCAAAGCCCAAGGTATGGCAATCAAATGACAAAAAACTAGGATGAACAGATCCTGAGTGGTCTAAAATACTCATTAAAAAACATTTATTTTTTAAAATGACTACAAATAATCTTCTATCTTATCTGATTGATTACCTCTTATTGGTATGCAGAAATATAATTGGGACAACAAAGACCTTCTCTCTAAAAATTGCAAACTGCCTACAAAGTGTGGCTCCCTAGTTATGGCCTGGTTCCCTTGAATATATAATGGGCACCATGCCCTCTGTGCCTTGCCATTATCCTCGCTTCCCCCCCCTTTTTTTTTGGCGATTTAATACTCCCCGTTGTGGACAAACAATAGTGCCAGGTCCATAAGCTCCTCGTGCTGAGTTGGGCACAGTCTAGAAATTTAAACCTGATTTGAAATAGCCTGTCTTCTGCGATTGAATTAGGGGCCAAGTTAATTCAGTCCTGTATCTTGGAGACGCTCTCAAGCTCCCAGAGAAGTTCTGGGGCAAACGTTTACCCCGGAGGAGGCAGAGGAAACTCAGATTCTGCTGAGTGATGGTGGAGGGGTCAGTGTCAATGCAGTGCTTTCTCTTTTTTATTGAATTAATTCCCATTTCAGAGCAACATCTGGCTGCCTGGCAGCCAGTGCCATACATTTCAGGCCAACAACATCAGGGTCTATTAGATAAATTTCATGGAGTTTTTCTCCAACTTTTCCATTTGGGTCACATCCTAACCGGTCATTGGAAAGAGGCAGGAACAAGCACAATCCCATGGATGTGGCGGAGGACTCCTCTCTTCCTCAGTAACTGTGAAATGCAGGGAGGATTCATTTATTAATGGTTCAGATAATTGAAGAATATTTCTCTATACGGGATCACATTTATTTAAAAAATTGAGAGGATCATATTTACTTTAGCTCCTTGTGTAAAAAACACAAGAACAAACTCAGAGTTTTATTTAACTAGAATATAACAATAAAATAGCTTCTTAGGTCATTCAATTTTATTTTGGACTAAATCATCACCCATTCAGATATTTTTTACATTTAAGGCTGCTTTATGAGACGTTTCTTTTGGTAACCGCTACCTAGATACATTTAAAAAAATATTTGTAACAGGGGTATTGGGATGCTTGTCTGTCTCTTTTCCTTATTACTTGGGCACCCTTCTGATATTAATATTCTTAGAACTTTCAACAGAAGAACAGGTAAGAGTGAAGGAGTGCATCATGTTTCCCATGGTTGTCAGTTTGTGTGTGTGCAACTGCATGTGTATGTTTATGTGTAGAATCCTATTGTGGTTTTTCAAAAAATAGATCTCTGTTGTAAAAACACAATTTTCAGTTGCTCCCCTGGCTCATGGGGACCTGAGTGACCAGGCACACGAATCAACAGATATCCGCCTGTGCCCCAGACCGGACTGCAAGGGACCCGCTGATCCTAGTGCCAGTCTATGCCCGTAGGTGTCCATGTGGACACTTACTGGGAGGTAGGAGAGAAAGGAGGGGCTTGGACAGGCAGAAGAGCAAAAAACTAGTTATGAGTAAAAAAAACAAAACAAAACCAAAGACAATATCACCAACATTTTTTTTTCCAGAAATGAATTAAAACTTGAAAATTCTAGATTTTTCTTCCATCCATCAACCAAAATTCTTATGGTGGTTCACTCAGAAACGCTTTTTTTTAACCGCCTTCTCCCTCCCTACAGGTCAGCCAAGACTATAACAAAATGATTGGATCATTAAGAGGATGGAAAAAAAAAAAAGGCAACTAATATAAAGAGGAAATAAAATGAGTGATTTGTTGCTTGACTTGCGGGGCCAAAGAAAACCATGACAGTGTGTTTGGCAAGTTCTTCCCCTGCGAGGCTTTTTTATGTTTCAAATAGTGGGATAAGTATGGAGAATGCCTGATGACATCAGAAGAAGTGTTTTCGGGTCAAATTTCGACTTTTCTGGAATGCTTGCTAATTTGGACACTGCTTTCTGAGACAGGAATCATACCAGTGAAGCCCATCGCGGCTCCTTCTTGCGACTGTCTAAGAAGTCCATCTCCATCTCGAAAGTCAATGTACACCAGATCTATGGCCTGGAGACCAAAGGCTTTTGCTACGACAACAATCTTTTGCCGGGCGTAGAGAATATCCAGGGTTTCTTTGCTACTTGTTGCACCTGAAAACGGGATGTTAACAGAAAAAGGAGGCTTTAACTTTGGAAACCGAACCCAGACATTGATTATAAAAACTCAGTTTGTGCAGACACCTATGTCTCCCTGGGAATTGCTCCTCCGAAAAATAATTATTCAAATATAAATGAAATCTCATGTGTCTGTTTAACTGACAAGGCATCTTTCAGTAGAATTACTTCTACCTGCATTAAGAGAAGGCCCTTCCCCATTCCGGGAGGCTGGGTCAGGGTCGAAAGAGACCTCCTGATATGTTTTTTTTCCTTCTTATCATCGCTTGAAAAGTGCCAGTCCGAAGACAGCACCACAAAAGGTGGCCCAGCAGCTGTGCAGGGCAATGGTTCACTTTTCACAGTGAGCACAGAACTGTGTGTGCTGTGGCTGGCATGCCCTGTCCAAAGTGAAGTTCTGAGCCAAATGCTTCAGCTTCAGGGTCTGGATGGACAACTTGGGGAGATGGGAGGGCACTTGTTTTGAGAGGGCTGGAAAGCTTGGATATGCCTTCTATAGCCTGCTGAACTGCTGGATACACAAGTCTCCTGGAAGGACTCATATTAAAATAAATTCAGTTTTTTCACCCTGAGGGTAGGGAAGTGTTCCTATTTATATTTGGAACATGCCACTCCCTGCTCAGGGAAAGTGCCTGTCTTCAGGTCACTGGGACTGGTTTCTGTGGCCTCGACCTCTTTTCTAAATGCTTCACGGTGTCCAGTCAAACACGCAGACCTCTCGAGTGCAGAGCAAGAGGGATGGTGAGAATCAGTGAAAATCAGCACATTTAACATGAAAGTTCAAAAACACATTGTAAGAGAAATTTAAGATCCATTTAAAATAATATTTACATACTGTATATTTTACGTGGAAAACAATTCATTAAGGCAAATAAGAAATCGCCTTAAATTTGCATTAGAAATCTAGACAGCCCTCATACTGATGTGAAAACAAAATACTGAGGCAACGGTGAGGCTGTTCACATAATATATTTATTAGGCACAAAGGAGATGCCAGATATTCCTGAGCATGCCTGGGGGCTGCAACAGGCTTTCTATTGCTCACGTCTTTTATAAATGAACACAAGTAATAATGCAGTGTTCTAGAAGCAGGGCAGCTATGAGGAGCTCTAAATTATCAGGAAGTAGTGTCCACTCCATTGTCATGAAAAACCATTGTCACGGTTGGCAAATATATATTGTTATGTAAATATCCACTCCTGAGGGGCAAAGACAAAATATATGCACACGTATATACACACACACAGAAAAAAAGAGAGAGGTCTTTGACACCTATGCTGGCTCGAAAGTCTTCTCCTCCAAAAACGACTGCATCTAGAAAGAGACCCACTTGAGGCCCGATCTTGAGGGTTTCTTCACACACTGCCTGTAAAAGAGCAGAACAGAACCAAGGCTCACAGAAACGCGTGCGTCAGAGGGAAGAGGCACGGTGCATTTCAGTAACAGGACGACCTGACTCTTAACACAGTTTGGCTGAAAGCAGTCCTAAAAACGCACCCCAAATTTACCCCTTTCAAAAGGTATTTAATATCATTCAAGATAAGTATATTGTATATATTTGCTTTGTTTAATGAATTATATTAATAGAGTTATAATGCTCAAATCATAGCTCATCTCACTTTTGGAGCAACTTTGAGTTAACTCATTTTGCTTGCACTGTAAGTTATTTATATTTTTCCGAATTTGTTTTTGCTTTAAGAGACTCTCGTAAAACCATAGGGGAGAGGGAAGGAATTTTAAAGTCAAACTAATTGAATTATTTGCATTAGGATCAAGCACATAGTCTCAGGATTAAAGACCTACAAAAACCTACAACTGTAAAGGGGAAAATAAAAATGCAACGAGTCATCCAAGATGTGTTGATAAAGCAACTTCGACATTTATATATGAAAGTCAAGGCAAAGAGCATTCATCACAGATGTAACCGTGAATCTTGAAAGGTGGAGATAGAACCTGCTAATATATGTGGGTGGGAAAGAAACAAGGAACCGGTGGGGACACTGTTGATTACTTTCAGACATTGTAAGTGTTTCTAAGTACATTATGGAATAAAATGTCGAAGCAGTGCTTAAAATTAAATCACTGGATGAATCCGGTTACATCTAAGGGATATGCTTTTGATTATATTCTCAGTATCCTAAGGCTGGCTGGAAGAATTTGCGGTTAGTTATATAAACAAGCTGCTCATGGGACAAGGCTTGAAGCAGCTCCCCAAACATTTGCACTCGACCCCTTCTGCACAGCCCAAGGTCTCAAAGTTGCCGCTCACATATTCTCTCTCTAGTACATTTTGATTATGTTTTTTTCTTTGTTTTTAGTGATTTCTTTTCTCCTGCCCTCTGGGGGGACTGAGGTGGGGGAAGGGAGTGGAGGAACTCTGAGAAGGGGGTGCTAGATTGATGTTCGCAGGTCAGGTGGAAAGAGAGGTGTATTTTGGAAAATAATATAAATGCCCCCTGATAAATGAGAAAAAACGAGCTAGCTCTGAATTTGTTAAGGCAGGTAGTTTGGTGCAACCACACAATGGCTGAAAACACTTGGCTCAGCTAATATTCCCACTGTACATTAGAAAATGTTCAATGTTCTAATGTGGCAAATTGAAAAAAAGGTACTGCAAATTATTTGTGTGCATGAACTTACAAACAATAATCTTATCTGCTAGACATTACTGATGAGGTTGCTACAGAGAGGCCGGGAAATTTCCCAATGAAAAGGCAATTGATAGAATATTTCAAAGTTAATTCATAAGGGTGACAAAATAAATTTTTATGTACATTTAGTCTATAAATGCAATAATTCAAAGCATATAATTACACAGTGATTAATTAAAATTGTCACTAGGAATATATACATGTTTCAATTAAATATTTTGGACTGGGAAGCTTTTCTTCTACTTAACTGATTTCATTGTTTCCTCAGATGCTGGTAACCTGGTTTTTGTACTGTTACAGATAACGAATGGTCTTCAAGGTTTCCTTTGCTTATAAATCTCTCCAGAAACATATTTTAATACGATGTTAAAATTGAAAACAAAAGTTCTCTTTAGGTGATAAATAAAATACTAACTTATTAACCATATTATGGTTTTCTTACCTTAAAATTGAGCAAACCCATTGCAGTTTCCACAAAAGGGATTAAATTCATTGGTTGTTCAAGTTTTCGGCCTTTTAAGTGGAATGAAAATTTGTCTGCAAACTAAAATCAGAAGTGTCATAGGTGATTAGTGGGGAAAAAATGTACAATCACGGAAATGTAGATACAGAAGTAGTATTTAAGTCTTTGACCTGAGGAAGTCATATCCAAGCCTCTTTCATCCACACAAAAGAATTTTTTTAAAAAAATAAGAAGACAGACCAAAGAAAAGGTAATGAAGTTCCCAGCAAACTAAATAGTAAAACCCCAAGCATTACAATTTTTTTCTCCCAAAGGAGCAACTTAAGGCCTAGGAGTTAGAACTGGAAGAAGAGAGTATCAGCGCTTTCCCTGGAAACATATTTACTTAAGACCTCTTGCCCTCACTTCGTTAAATGCAAATGGTAGGCCCTGAAAACAATGAAGGCTTCCTCTACCTGCCATTCTGTTTTTGTTTCGTGCCCAGCACTGACATCAGTGTAACTGTTCAGCAGCCTTCTACATGGAGTCCATATTATTCATTATAGCACCGTTACCCTTTGTTCAGAAGGTTTTTCTTCATAATTTTTTAGCTTACCTAGGAAGACCTTAAAAAGGAAGTTTAATTCTTTGAAGACCAAAGCTCGCCAATTTTTTCCATGAGACCAGTTCACAGCTAGCTCTGTGCTGCCAGTGGGGTAGCCCAAATTCCAAAATCTATCATCTGGAAACATACAAAAGCTCTTGGCCAGATTCCTCCCCCCCTTCAAAAGGGGGAAAAACACACTCTAAATTGTAAATCTATTATGTCTATCTAGATCTAATAAGCTGTGGGGAGATAGAAAAGAAACACAGGTATGATAAAGATATTTTTGTAAATAAAGATGAAAACATATATATCCATTTTAAATTTAAGGAATATTCAGCCATTAATGGATATCAAAGGAAAAGGGAATTTTAATCATCTCTCCATTCAGTCTCAGTTGGGTAAATCATATCTAGAGATTTGCATAAATATAAACCATCAAAGACTTTTCATCTTCAAAGGGGGTTTCAAGACCCTATAAGCTTTGTACTGTAATCATCACAGGTCACCACCCTGCAGGAATAAGGCTGCTATGGCAACATAAAAAACTAATGCTGAAGGCTTAGCATAATATTCTGACTAATAGAAAGGAAACTCATTTGAAAAGCTGGCAGCCTATTTACCAGAAGCGGGATTAGAGGTGTTATTTCCCCTTTTAGCTGCCCCCTCCTTGCCGGTGCACCACCCCCCTAAAAAATCTAATCACTGGGATCTTTAAAAAGCTTTTGAGCAATTTGCAGTAACTTTACAATTAGGCTAAAATAAATCACAGCTTTCAGTAATGAAGAATTATTCCCAGTTGCTCCCACTGCCCCCCTTCAAAGGGCATCATCATCACCTCCTTAGTAACTTTTCAAGGGAAGGAATAACTCAACCAGCATAGTGAGAAGAAGCAGAGGGCGACAATTTCAGGGGATAAAATGTGTAGTATTTGAGGTAGATGAAAATCAAACATAATTTATTTCCCATTTATGCTAGAAAGTGGTAGCACAGTATTAGTGGTGTTGGTGTTAAAAATGTAGTAGGGATTTTTTTTTTTCCTCATTAAAAAAAGAAAATTTGCCAAGTGACTTGCCCCATTCTTTGTGGTAAGTTATAACTACAAAAATCATAGCGTTTAAAACCAAGTAAATGCTTTACAAGATATTCCCTGTTCTTGGTGAGAAAACCCCTAATGCCTTTTGTTTTTAAGCCAATAGGGGCATTTAAAAATTAAATATTCTAGCCCATCTTCCTCCTCCTCCTCCTCCCCCCCTTTCTTAAAAAATTGCATTAAGTACTAACACAAAAGGTAACTAGTGGAGAAGTTTCCATTAATTTTTTCAAAAGGAGACGATTAAATGTTTCCGGCCTGGTAAAGTGTTCATTTCAGCGAGGTGGAGGGGACTGGGGTAGGGGGAGGAGAAGAAGGGGGAGAAATCACAAAGAGATTGGGGAGGAGATGAAGTAGCAGGGCTCAGCGATTCTTTCAATTCCAGTGCACACCCAATAGTGTGCTGGAAGAATGCACACTGTTCGGGATTTGTGGGAGAATTGTCCCATGACAAAGGAGGCAGGGTTACGCTTGTTATAGTCCAATAAGCCGTGCCAGTCAAACAAGAACCCACACTAGCGACAAAAGGCTAGCGAGAGATTCTCACACAAAAGAAAACAAGTAAGCCCATCTTTCAGTTGTGCATCAGGCTCTGGGTTTTATGCTTCGCATAAATACAAACGGAGAGGAAAAAATAAACAGCCAAAAGGACTTCTGTTAACTAGAAGTCTGATTTAAATTTCTGTATGTGTCTCACTTCCAAGGATTTAAAACAGCGAACAGGAGCCGTAGCTGAAGGTTGGTGGGTCCTCCCTCCCCCGTCTTAAATTAAGGGTAATAACAGTGATAAATAGGCATTAACTATGAAACCAAAAGGGAACAGTGACTTCAGAGTCCATTTCAATCAACTTAAGACATATTTGAATGAGCTCAGGGCCCTTCAGGATATTAACATACTCTAACTAGTATCTCTCAGCTTCTCAGGGTAACCCTGGAGAGCAGAACTCCAGCTTAGTCAGTAAATACTGGTGCCTGAATACGGGTCTTCTACAAGGACCCAACACAGAGCTGTCCAAAAGAAACTGTACAGCAGCAGCTACATCCATAATTTTAAATTTTCTCGTAGCCACATTCAGAGGGTAAATTGAAACAGGTGAATTTAATAGTATCTTGTATTCAACCCAACAGATCCCTAATGTTATTTCAATGTGTAATCCATATAAAAACGACTGAGATAATTCACATTCTCTTTTTGTCCCCTCAGTGAATCCCAAGTCTTCAAAATCGAGTGTGTATTTTGCACTTCCAGCACATCTCAATTTGTGCTGGCCACATTTCAATGCTCAGAAGCCACATGTCACAGTGGCCGTGCCACCGGGCGATGCAGACTTGGCGCATCCGGGCGCATTCAGAAGGTGAGCAGTTTCGTCGGTGTTACAGCCACTCAGGGTATTGCTGAGGCGGCAGCCGCAGCCTCAGAGATAATATTAGATGTGGCTTCCATGAAACCACCATTGCCCACTCGCCCTGACCACAAATTTGTCCACTTTTCACACCTTACAGGCTCTCTGCCACTGAATGACACAGTGAAATGTTACTTTATTCAGGAGAGATCTGCAGAAGAAAAGCGACCCTCGAATGAAATCTAGCCCCTCCCCCCTTTTTGTCAATTAAAACAATCATAGTGTAATTAGGCCCATTTCAAAAGTTTTCTTAAGTAATTTGACATGCCAGCCACTTTACATTTCAGGTTTTTATTGGCTGAAAAGTCTGTCATGAAACACAAACACACCTGTCAGCAATTTAAAAAGGACGCACTGGAGAACTGTTCAGGAAATAATATCTGTGCTAATTAAAACCACTAGTTAAAAGCTTCCTGTTCATTCCTCTAGTTGCCCTAAGGAGTGACCTTTTCCTCCCCTTCTTTGGGTTTATTTTTTCATATGCAGCAAATGTGCCCTCCCTGCCTGGGATGATTTCAGATGAATCTCAGTAAGAGCCACTTACGTCACTGCTCTTCCAGGTGGAGGCCTTGGCTTAGGGCCAGGTGGGGTGGAGGAAGGGATGAGATTCTCAGGCAACCTAGTTTCCAGGGATTACTGTGGGAGGGCTGCTGAGGAGGCTGTTCTGGCCAAACCACACATCCAATTAGGAAGCCAAGCATCATTTCAGAAGTGCAGTTGTTCCACAGAACACTTTGGGCAAAGGCAAACTTTCCTTGTGTGAAAGAAACGGATTCCTGCACGTACTGCTTTTTCTCAGTTCCCTTCCTCACTGCTCTGTGCATGCATTTTCCAAACCTGTGGCACCCAGATCCCTTCTTCCTGTTACTCCTCCTCAGCTACTCCTGAGTCTTAAAGCAAAGCATTAGCTACTCACCCATTGGATTTCTTCAGGACTCTCCACCTTTGGTAGCATCAGGCTGGAAGGAAGGACCCGGGATTGCAGAAGGGTCTCTAGGTCTTCTTCCGCCAGACCGCTGGAAACTGAGTTGACTCTCACACATTTTTCAGTAGAGCCCAGATCAAAGTCCTCAAGAGTTTTTACAATTCTCAGTCGAGCTTCATTCTATAAGTGTCAATAAAAATGTGTTTCTTTTTATCATTGAGGGGAGCACCATCAAATGGTCTATGAAACTGTTACATGGATTCAGAGTCTGAGCACCACTATTCTATCTACACATTTCCTGTCCACCAAAAAAATATTTGAAAGAAGTCATCCAGTCTGAAAGGTGAGCAGTTGACTTCTAGGCTTCATTCAGGATGGCACTAACATAGCTGAGATGCACTGTAATGCCCACTGGTGCACAGTAATGCCGTCTTTCTCAGTAGCATCACGTCCCAATTGGAAGGGAAAAATAATTAATAGGTAATTTTTCACTGACTGAGCATTAACTAAGTGCTAAGCATGGTTGTATGTTCTTTACCTGCACCTTCTCATTTAATATACATAAGAAATTGGCTAACATCTGGATTGTGGCTGTTTCGTCTGTCAGCTTCTTCACATTAGGGGAAAAAGTAAGGATTTTTCTTTTTCCATAAGCATCATGCTTTTTTTTTGTTTTTTGGTTTTTTTTTACTATTTTATTGCAACTGAGTTGAATCTTGACATTCAATTAAGAAGATGCTCACAGGAATCTGACAATAATTGCTACAAAAAAAGCTCCAGTTCCTTCAGGTAGAAGGCAGGGAATCCCTTCATGAAGTGCTTGACAAATACATTTTTTTCTTTGCCTTGACAGGCTTTGCTCCACAGTTCAGAGAAGCTGAAAGGCTGAATGTCTGCCTCAGTATTTGAATTATCCCCAGAAAAACTATATGAAACCAAGTATGTTATGTATTGGCTTTGGCTCTGGGGTGATGAAGATGGGGTGGGGGAGAGAAAGAAGTGCATGCAGAGGGTGAGGGTTGGAGTCGACAGAAAGAAAGCACTTGGGGCCATTACTTCCTGCCAATTTCAGTTTCAAAAGCAAACTCCTCCAACTTGCCAACAGCCCTCAACAAATTCTCATTGTCAGAATGAACACTTATCAAAAGTAGATTCATTTGGGAAGGGTTTTTATGATACTAATAAAACTTTAAAGCTTCTCACTGCTGGTGAATTTTTTTTTTTAAGTCTTAATATATAGCCATTTGAAAAGCAATACTGATCTAGGAAAATAGCAAACCAAAGTGGCAACAAAAAAGAATTATTTAAGCCAATATTGAGTCTAAGTTCCAGTCAACAAGACAACCCAGGACAGAAGATTTAAACCAGACAGACGTGGGTCTGTGAGCAGGGAGAAGCAAGGAAGCTTCCAAATGTGGTCTGAGTTAAACAGTGTGAGGAAACGGCAGCTTAGAGTTGTCAAGTCAGATGGAAAGAGAACCTACGACAGCTTAGGACAGCTCTGTGAAGTCCTGATTTACAGAGTTCGACTGCCAATGATTAGGCAAAGCTTAGACAAAAGCAAGAGAGAGCTCAGACTAGTCAGAGATAATGCAGCCAACAATGGCTTGGTTCCCTGTCATACCTTTCTTTGATTCCATAGATTAAAAAACTCACCCACTTGCTCTCCCACACACTCTTCATTACAGCCATTAAATACAAAAATCTTTTTTTTTTTTTGGTGAGACAGAGTCTCACTCTGTCACCCAGGCTGAAGTGCAGTGGTGCGATCTCGACTCACTGCAATCTCTGCCTCCCAAGTTCAAGCAATTCTCCTGCCTCAGCCTCCCGAGTAGCTGGGATTACAGGTATCTGCCACCATGCCCAGCTCATTTTTGTATTTTTTAGTAGGGATGAGGTTTCACCATGTTGGCCAGGCTGACCTCAAACTCCTGATTTCAGGTGATCCACCCGCCTCAGCCTCCTAAAGTGCTGGGATTACAGGTGTGAGCACCACACCTGGCCCTAAATACGGAAATCTTAAAGGTGAAGGGCAGAAGTTAGCGAAGTATCTTGGCTCTAAAGCAGTCTAGAGCTGCTGGAAGAAATACTTCCACCTCCGGCTGGGCTCAGTGGCTAACACCTGTAATCCCAGCACTTTGGGAGGCTGAGGCGGGTGGATCACGAGGTCAAGAGATCAAGACCATCCTGGCCAACATGGTGAAACCCCATCTCTATAAAAAAATACAAAAATTAGCTGGGCATGGTGGCACACACCTGTAGTCCCAGCTACTTGGGAGGCTGAGGCAGGAGAATTGCTTGAACCCAGGAGGCGGAGGTTGCAGTGAGCCGAGATTGTGCCACTGCACTCCAGACTGGCGCCTGGCGACAGAGCAAGACTGTCTCAAAAAAAAAAAAAAAAATTAGCAGGGCACGGTGGCAGATGCCTGTAATCCCAGTTACTTGGGAGGCTGAGGCAGGAGAATCACTTGAACCCAGCAGGCAGCGGTTGCAGTGAGCTGAGATTGCACCTTTGCACTCTAGTATGGAACACAGATCGAGACTCCATCTCAAAAAAAACAAAACAAACAACAACAAAAACAAACAAACAAAACCCAAAACCTGAAATACTTCCAGCTTTTTGAAAGGCACATTTAGATCCATGGCTGTGGAGAACCTAAAGCATGTTATGCTCTGTGTAGCCTATGTAGATATAAAAAGTCCAGCAGATTTGCTGGAGTTTGTCAACATAACTTCCAAGTTCCTTTTTAATAGCTAAGTCAGCCTTGCAAAGACTCTACTGGGGCAGTGTGAATGGAAAATTGAAGGGAAATCACTAGATTTTTTTAGGCCATACTGCGTTTCTAAAACTTGAATTATCTGAGTCATCATCTCCATCCTCTCATCTGCATGTGTGCTCAAGGACGCAGAATCCCCGGCCACATCAACTTCCTAAATTGTTCATGTTGGTTAGTATCAAACAAAATCTGATCTCGAAGCTATTGGGTTTCACTTGGATTTGAAGAGACTGTTTGTTCAAAGCTCATGTTCTAAACCTGTTTGTGATTTTTATCTAAAGTCAGATTGCCATGGTTTCAGCACATTCCAGTTTACTTAGCAATTCAGCCCTTGTGAAATTGGCTGCAAATGAAGTACCTAACTCCAATTTTAGGCATAATCTGATTAGTACTTTTCATTTTATAATAATGAGCAGTGAATACTCAGCGTTTTTAAAATTTTGGCTCAGAATGAAAACCAAGCTCTTTCCACTTCACCATTCTGTACGTTTCCGAAAAGCGATGATGGCTTTTGAGGTATATTGCCACACAACACCCTTATTAACAGGCTGTTGCTTGTAACAATTTACATAAACCAAGTGTGCATCCTCCGGTATATATTCCAAACACCCAACAATTTCAGTGAATTTGCTCCAACCAACAAGCATGTTGCATTTTTTTTCTTTTTGGTATTTTCAGGGTGAAATATGTGACTGTGCTAGCAAACACGCCCATGCCATCTGTTGGGTTGAGAAGAAGGCAGTTTCTAAGAACAATTAAGTTTAGTTCTGGCTATTCAGTTCGAGAGAGTCACAGTCCACCCAGTTGCAGAAAGAAAGAAATTCTGTTGATTTTATTCTCTCACTTTTCCCCTCCCTCTCTGCAACACACACTGTACTCCTTGCTAACAGCGCTCTCTTAGCTCTCGCTCATCTCCACCACCTCGTCCTTCACGCTTCATGCTTCCCTTCTTTTTTTCTCTCTCTCTGTGGCTCCTGGTTGGCTGTGACCATCCCTCCAATATCCATCTCAGGTGGATTAGCAAGAGGCTGCCTGGCTGACCCCGGGTCTCAGAAGGGCTCTCAGGGTGATCCGCTGCGATTATTGGGAGGAAAGTGCTTCCTGGAGAAAGGAGAAAAAGGAAATGAAGGTAAAAGAGGCCACCCCAAAAATTATGGGGGCTTTTCATCCTGGGAGCAATCCAAGTTGTTTAAAATGAGGTTTGCGAGGGGCTGCATTCTAAATGTGTTAACGCTACGGGGCAGCCTTGGTGAGCCCTTCTCACTGTGGAATTAACTTGTCCCCCAAGATATGACAAGCTGGAAACGACTGAATAATGGAATTAAGGCCGTTATGAACAGTTAGTTATTAGACCTTCGAAGGGACTAAACACCGTAGTGTGTTCTGGATCTTGTTTGATTCCAAAGGTGGACTCTGCCCAGGTCACAGAGGAAGGTGGCACAGATTAGAATCTGCAGGCCCCTGTTCTAAAAATCGGTGTTCCCAAAGTTGCCGCATTCAATCGATATTTCGTGCCATGCTGTTCAGTGCAGTGGACCAGTGGCTAATAAACTTGTCCTTATCCATAAGCCACCGTATTATGTGACTCTGTCTGGGCCAGGAACCAAGGCATGCTATGATTTCAGAGACTGGATTCCTATCACCTGGGAAAGAGACACGCTCTGGTGACGTAAGAAAGCGGAGAAATCAACCGTCACCGAGACCTGCAGACTCTGAAATTAAAGGAGAAAATATGCGTGCAGTTGGTTCAGTTGGCACCCATTAAAGCTAATAACTAATCATCCTCGCAAGTTCCTAGCTCAGAATGATCAAATCTGCAAAGAAAACAACATCCGTCCACTTTTACACTCCAGTGGAAGAGGTGGTCCCTCGCGGCAGGGCGGCACAGTCTCGCCATCTGGAGAATAAATCGAGTGTGAAGTACAGTATAGTTTGGGACCAAGCTCCGTGGCGGCAGCTCAGCAGTCAGTTCATTAGTTCCAAACTTCCAGGGATTAGAGCGGCATCAATTCTACTGTCGGATAGGATGAGACAGACAGGATACGAGATTCAAGGGGGATTGTGACAACCAAGAGGAGCCCCTTGGGCTTATTTATAAAACTACCAAGTATAAATATACCCAAATAAGTGCCTTAAATAATAGCATTATCACAGTTTCATAACATCTGAATTATCACCTTTCCCTTCGCCCAGCCCCCGACTCAAACCTTGAATGTTAATGTATGGTTGTTTTCAGAGGAAATGGCAGAGACAGCCCTGGGTGCAACAGGAACAAGGAGAAACCTATGTTCGACCCAAGATTTGGTAATTAAGAAATACGAAAGACTTTCTAGACTCCAGGGAGAATCCACAACATTTGTGATTAAAGAAAAGTACAATTAATACTGTCATCCTGCAAAAGGC